ATAGTGATAGTTACATTTACATATGGGGGTATGGACATATTGTAAAATAATTTATCTTGCCCTATATTATTATATACATTAAATATGGTCAAGGAGGTTGTTACTACATCTACAATAGTACAATACCCCCTCCCCTATCACTATGCCACTGGTACTATATAATATATTAATATAAAATTTAATGACTACCTAACCCTTATATCTACAATAATATACGACAAACGTTAAAAAGTATAATATATATTTTATGTATTTAGTACGTTTTAATCACTGATCTGATAAGGTCCAATATATTTTATTGTTATTTTAAACTCAGATATTTTGAGAAAATATTTTCAATACTTTGAGGAAGTACATATTTTTAAAGTATTTTAAGTACGTATTTGAGTACTTTAAAGTATTTRAATATTTTTACTCAAGTACTTAACAACTTTATTTATTTATAWCTCGGGCCTTATTTACGTAAGATCATTTAATTCAGTAGGTACTTTACATTTGTCCATAAGCCTTTAACTATTGTCTATTATATTTACAATAGTAAGTCGCGTATTATAGAACCATATATTTCTTATCATACTTACCGTAGTGTATAATTTTTATCCATGTTTAATTTAACTACCTAATCAACATCTTCATTACAAGCAGTTACTTAAAGTTATAGAAGGCGTGCATATTTTGTTTATATTTTTTAGTCATTTTTAGGTAGGTATACKTATTATTTATTTATTATTATTTTCTTATTAAAATTCAATAAATTATATTCAAATTCATTCAACATTATACAGTTACCAACTTATGAAATGCACGCTTGACATCACAACATTGTACCTACRCCAGATCAGATACTTCTCTACCCGCTACCCACTTTGCTTTTTATTCGTCTTAATTGTTAAATACTGGTATTTTTTTATTATTACCTCTCAAAAGTTTCAACTAGATTCACTTTTTATCCAGGAAAAATCTGGAAGTTGAAAAGAAATGTACGCAGATATACTCAACTATATAAGTCATACCTACTCATATGCACTTACAAAAATACCACTACCTCCCCTCCCGTAAATTAAACAGTTCCATTTCCCTACAAGAAAATTTAAGTATTTATACTTCTCCTAAAGGTATTATTAGCACACAAATAATAGGAACATCTATCATAATATTAATACGCCATTCGTCGTTTCAATCAGAATTTAAAATAAAACATCATTATACACCTATTTTAGTTTTCATTTACTATATTTTATCAGCCAAGATACAGTTATGTGCATTATTATTTGTTATAATTAAAAAAAAAAAAATACGAAAAAAGTAATATTCGTCATATAATGTTACGTAATGTTAGTTCGATAGTGCCGTATGATCGGTTATATAATTTTCTCATGTTTTTGATATATTGATAATTAATAAATTACCTACTGATTTTTTTATATTTAAGTTGTATGAAAAAAAAATTAATTTAAAAATATTTCCTGATGTAGAATTATGTTTTAAAATGATTTCATCTAATATATATATATATAATATGTTTAATAATATGTATATTTTATTACATGGAACTATATTAAAACTATAATGATTTATGATATAAATTGCTACCTGAATAAGAATAATATAATATAAACTTTTGAATATTATCTATATTTAGTTATATATTATAATATTTAATATGTATTATGTATCATATCAGATGCATATAAAATTAATATTATTATTAATCTTTGATTGTAATTTTTTTAAGATTGTTGTGAAAATGAAAGTAAAACAACCATTTTAGACTTTTGAGTACTTGAAAAGAATATGAATATTTTTATTCATGTACTCTATAACCCTATCCGGCTACCCCTATTAAAATATTCTTAATTTGTAATTGTTTTGTTCAGTACTTATTCACATAATTTTACCTCTAATTACCGTTAAATTGTTAAAATCGTATAAGACCAGAATAAAATAATTAAAAATAATTATTGATAGAACTTGGTTTCATTTATGAATTAATAAATAAAAAAACATGTTAATAATTCTAATACGTTAAATACTATAATTTTTCAACTTTTAATTTCGTATTTCAATTTTTTGTGTCAAAAGTTTAATTTGGATTTATGCATAATACGTGTTTAATGCAATTTTCATTTATAACCACTGGAAATAATATAACTACTGTAATAGGATTACAATTTTAACTATATTTATAGTGGAATTTAATTTAATTTTACAAAAGCTCTAATAACGATAAGATAATCAGATAATAATAATCAAATAATAAAATAAGTTTGAAATAATTAAACATTATTTTTAGCGTAGTTGTCACGGTAAAAGTACGAATACCGGTTAAACCTAGGTTTTGGTAAATCTTCGGTTTCGCCTACTAGGATTTTGGTAAAATCTAGGATAYACAACATCATTTGGTCAAACCCCGAATGATTTTTGTAGTTCGAACTTTTACAAACGAGATTTGATAAATCCTAGGATAAACAATAAGTGTTAGTAAAAGTCCAAACATTTTTACCAAAGTTATTAATTATTATTATTATTTAAGTATATTAGGTAGGTACTATATATTAAATATACAGATTTATATTATATTATTATATATTATGACAACAAATTTATATAATTATTACATAATATTTTTACTATAGTGTTAGTACTTAGTATATTATATTATTATTAAGTACTAATGCAAAAATTGACATATTAAATGCACTAGGTATAGTAGGTAAATTTATTACTAG